AAAAAAAAAATCTTCAAAAATAAAATAATTTTCTGAAACTTCATTTGAGGAATATTAACTGATTTAAAGTATAATTAATCTGATTTGAAACAACTAATATTTACTTTAAGTTTAAAATATCTCAGAAATGCATTTTCTTTTTTAACCTTTTCAGGTCTTGGCAGGTTTATCTAATGTTGTTATGGGGCTTTAGGTGTTCAAGTAATTGAATTAACTTGAGCACATTTTATATATAAGTACTCAGTAATCTTAAAAATTTTAAATATTCTTCATAATCTAATGCCACTGAATTTTAAATATTTTGGGCAGTAAATTTTTCCATAGTTATCACTTATTTTCTGTTAATGTTGTGTATGACCATGTGTGTGCATACAACAGCATGTTTATACACAAAAAAATTCAATATTCTTTTAAAAAAAATTGGTGTTTGATGATTTATAAGCTTTTCCATTTATGATTAGCAAATATAGTTTTTACTTAATAATATCATCTAAAAGGGTGGAATAAATACAGAATAAAACTTAAATTATTGTAATTAAAATTAATTACAAAAATAGTTCTTGTAAAAATTCATTAGTCACTGAGATTTTTTTTTTCTTAAGACAATAGTGTCTTTAATGTATCTTATTTATAAAAGAAATTAAAAGTTTATCTAATTAAATTAAATTTCTTAGTTTTATTGCATTTTTTTCATTTTAAGATTCAGAGAAGACTTAAATTTTCCAAGGAGCCCTGTTAACTAACATAAATATGAAAGTTGTAGAATTTTAATTACTGGAAATTTCATCAGTTATTTGGGAGGGGGGGATTCGTTTTTGATTAAGTCCTGAAAATTTAATTAAAATCTGATAATTATTTGATTTTTGCAAGAATCCCCAGATCTATGTGATCTTTATCACAAAAAAAAAAAAAAAAAAAAAAAAAAGACACTAAATATCCTCTACTAATCAATTTTTTTTTTTTTTTTTTAAATTTAATAAAATGAAATACTTTGGTCTTTCCTCTTAATAAATATCTTGGCGATAAAACTTTGTTTTTAAGTTTTGGGCCTTTTTTTTGTGAATTATTGGAGGTACCTAGATAAATGAGCGTACATGATGAAAAATGCCCCTGACTTAAAAAGTTTTATCGTGAAGCAAGATCGTTGTTGTTATTAAAAAAAAAAAAAAAAAAAAGACCAAGGGATTTTTTGATCAAACTATTTTTTATTACTTTTTAACCTTCGAAATTTGAAACATTTTTGCATCAACGGTGACCATAAATTAATATAGGAAATTTGAGCGTCTTTTTGCGATGAAAAACACATTGGTTGGGAAATTTTTTATGAATCACATAATTGTCGGATTTTAATGAAACTGTTTTAGAAACTTTTCTTTTATGATTCATTTTGTTGTCCTTAGTGTTTATATTAGTTTAGTAACAGGTCCCTGGAGAATTTAAATAATTTTTTTTTAAGGGCCCCCAGTTACAGAAAATCTGCTAATAATTGTAAAATGAATGTAATAAAACTAGGACATTAATTAAAAAAAAAAAAAAAAAAAAAAAAAAAAAAAGAAAGATTTTTATTGCTTTTAATGTAATAAAAGAGTCAATATCATTTAAACTGATTTGGAACTATAACAAATGAGCAAATGGTTTTCATTTCAAAGAAAAAAAAAATTGCATAATGTATACATTTTTTATTTCCTAGAAATTTACAAACATTTCACTTTGCTCCCTGAACCTATGAACAAAAAATTCAATGAGTATTTCAGATTAGTGCTTTCTGCAGTAGAAATTTAAGATAGTTTTCCTTAAATTTAAAATTTATTGAAAATGGATAAGCTTTTTTACAATGAGATAAAAGTTAAAATCTCGCACTGGTCAATCAATATTCAATAATAGTACTGACCAAAGATTCAGAAATCATTGTACAAAGCAAGAGATAACAGATGACCAAAAAATAATTTTGCCTTTGTTTCATAACATATCAAGTCAATGATCAGTTACCAATTACAAGTCGGGATGATAAGTAAAATAAATAAGATGAATGAAAAGCCTTACAAAATAATCGGCATTTTTCCGAAGTTTCACACATTTTTAATAAATGTTATTACGAGACATTAGTTACCTCCCTTTTAGTGCAATATTCATTTCAGAATTATGTTTCAACTATTACAAAAGGCACTAAAAACATATCCACTAAAACTAATTATGTTTATGAAAAAAAAGAAAAGAAAAGTTATGGTAATTCAAACAAACATCCAAAATGGGGAAATATTTTTTAATTAAATTTTGCGACATGTAACTTTTACTGAAAGAATGCACAATTATGTATAAAATAGCCATAATCACTTACAAAACACGTATTATTGACAATTAACTGTAGTTTTAGAAATTGTCAAGTTTCGCAATGATTTTAAAATTTAAATTCATAAAATTCATTTTTCTTCGCTAGAAATTGTAACAATTTAAAAAATAATTTGGTCAAATTAACTTTACGAAAAGTAATTTATTTCAAATATTCAATTTCTCAAAGCTACATACGAATTCAGACATTTATTTTAAACTAAACATTTCCAAGTTTTAACACATTATGTCAATTTTGAAAGCAACCGAAAACAGACTTATCAGATTTCCATTTTTTTCTTCTGTAAAATTAAAATGTGAGAAAACGAGAGAAAAAAAAATTACCTTTTTAGATTCAACCTTCAAATAATTTTCGTAAAATAAGCTATAACACTCGTCTTTTAAATTAGACATGTCAATTATACTAATTGTGTCGGAAAGCTTAAAATAAAATCTTGAGATTTCTCAGACAAAGTTAACGGACCAACAGAAGAAACTGAAGATTTAAAAAAAAAAAAAAAAAATGTGTTGAAATTTACCTTCACTACTTCAGTAATTATGCTTCTACTTTAAGTTTTAAGCGAATTTAATTTAAAATGTTTTAATACGAAGATTTAATAAAAAAAGAGGAAAACTAAAACTTAAACGTTGGCTATATATCCGAACAACTCCAATTTGAATAAATAAACTGGATCTTTTTTTTTCCTACTTTAAACAAACATCACGAAATGATTTCTATAACTTAAAAACTATGTAATAAAAAAAAAAACTTAGAACAAAGGGAAGCAAGCAAAAATCTTTAAAAAAAAATATTTTTACACTCGAGGAAATTAAGTCTACAGCAAAATAAATCCTTATTGCTTAAAAAAAAAAAAAAAAAAAAAAAAATTTAAAAGTTAAATATTTCTAAAGTGATGGTAAAAGTAAACGTTTTATACTTGCCCTCTATAAGATTATTTATAGCTGAAATTACAATCTAAAGAACGAATTGAGCCAACAATTTCGTTTCAAGCTTTTGTCAGTCATTGTGTATTTCATTTGGTACCACCAATAAGTTGCATAAATGATAAATGCAATATTAGCAAACTGGTTCGAAAATTGAAATTACTTCACCTAGAGAGTAATTCGAAAATAAACTAATGGCAGAATATAAAATCGAGCAGATAAATGTAAGCTCTTTTTATATTGAATACTTCTAATAAACGAACGTCGAGAAAAAAAAAAGAAAAAAAAAGTGTTTTGAAAGTTTAACCCGTGTAGAAAACGAAAACATTAAAAAAATAAAAAAACACATACACAAGTAAAAAAAAGATATATAAAAATTTGCAACACTAATATTCCTCACCATTAAGAAAAAAAAGCATAAAAAATATAGTTCAGACTAATTAGAAATGCATAAAGAATTATATTTTAGCAAGGTAAAAATGGAGTTTTTATTATAGAAAAAAAAGAAATCTTCATTGATTTGTTGATGCTAGTTTTTTTTTGTAAGTGAACACAAAAAGCGAACAGAACGTGTTTAGAAATGTGTTTATGGAGGCAGGGAAGTAATTCAATTGGTTTAAGGGTTTTATTTTTCTTTTCTTCAAGTAAAAAAAGTTGTAGGATGTATTTTTTTAGTTATAGCTCAAAAGTCAAGCTGTTTCTGTCAAAGAAAAGACTAATAATAATAATAATAATAGTCTGGGGGTAAGTCGCCAGACATGGAAGAAACGAACATATGAAGTAGTTCCTCTCTTCTTTCTTTACACAAATAAATACTCTGTTAATGAATTAAGTTTTCATTTCTGTATAAATAGACCGAAGTAATTATCTTAAAAACTAATTATGAATTCATAAGCTTAAACAATTAATTTACAATAGATAAAGAAATAAATAAAATAATACTCATTCCTAATAAAAGAAAGAACAGAGGAAATAATAGACAACACGTATTCGCTTTCCCTAAAAATAAAAATGCAGCGACAACGGCACTAAATTGGTTCTAACAACGTTTAACGTTAGATTAGACAATTAAATAACGCTTGATCGCAGTTTTAAATATATATATATGTAGATATATAAAAGTCTGCATTTAAATGGGGATAAAGTAAATAATCATCTACAACAACGATGAACTAAATTATTTTTACATTAAAAAAAGTTCACAAGATATTAAAAAAAATAAATAAAGGGAGAGAAGGAAGATTTTAAAAAGGAAGGGGAAAAAAATTAAATCCCGACAATATTAAAAAATAAATAAATAAAACTAGATACAAAACATGCAAAGTTAAACATTAATTTATAATTTTAGTAAAATATTAAAGAGGAAAAAAATAAAAAGGCATTTTCTGGGAGCATAAGAGTTTTGGGAATATATCTTAACAATATAGCTTCTCGCCACCATCAGTCGAGAGCTATGGTGGTCAATTGCGACCCCCAGCATGACCACCTTAAAATCAGAGGAAAACAAGCAAAATAAAAGTTTTATCAGAAAGCAAAGGGTATATATATGTAGATCAAACATCGATGTACTGTCGTTATCGCTAAAGTTTGTTGCAGATAACGACGACAGACAATTATATGCTACATCAGCATGTCAAACAACACATGCTTAAAAGACGAAAACAATAAGACCCCCCCAGACAACAGTCATCGGAGACCACAGCAAACTGACTGGCCCTTAAGCTTACCTTGTAATTTTCGCCTGTCAGCCATAGCTACGAGAACGTACACTTTAATGACTGCTGCATGCTATGAAAGCGCTATGGGACTAAAATCTGTAAGAATGAGGCAAATAATCAGGGGAATCCTCTTTCTTTTTGCCTTATCGAACAACCAAAATGGCTTCCCTCTTCTGACCAACCCTTTCATAAGATTAGTAGTTTGTGTTCTGCTGCTTACGCAACAAGTTCCATCAATTTTTGCTTTCGTATCTGATCTGGAGATGCACAGCACCTCCAAACCCACGGAATAGATCGTAAAATGATACCAAAAATTACTTGGTCGATTTATTATCGAGAAAAAAAGAGGCGTTGGTAGTTTTAGTAAGATTTGCGCAATGATTTCTGCTCCAAACTTGCCGACATTTCTAACGCTGTTATGGGATACCAGGGAATTGATAAACGGAAATGACGTATTTTGGACGGCAGCATCCAGATGACGTCACACCAAAGCAAATCAAAGAGAGATCACGTGACGATAGTCGACTGGCAACCATTTTATTCGTGGCAATAATGTTTTAGTTTAGAGGTTTTATTTACATGAGATGATGGCGGTTGTCGCCGTTGCTAGAAACACGCGGATTTGCGTCGATCTGTTCTTTTACAACACACACGAAGCAAATTCAAAGATACGACAATACATATCCAGGACCCTGATTTTACCTAAATAACGGAATATATATTATATGTTTTGGAGTTTTGGTACCCTTTTACAACAGACATTTTTATTCGCAAATTTAAGTGTCGGTTTTGGATGCCTGACTGAATGACTAGTAAACAACAACATAACGGCAATTTTTTAAGGTAAAAACAAAAGTATCCCTATATCGTACCTGATTTTAATTGATAGTACAGTACACTGATGATTGATTACAATATGAATAAAAATGATAATAGATTTATTATATAGAGACATTTATTTTTTTGCTCTTAAAACAACTGCAAACTTGTTGCTAAAAAAATAAAGCACAACTGAAATTTGTTTTGGTAAATGCAAGTATTAAAATCTGTATTAAAAAGTTTATAATCGGTCTCATTGTAGTATATCGACTAAAAAATTGTTTTTGTAGTAAAAATTAGAATAATTTAAAAAGAAATTGAACGAAATTATTCGTTATTGAAGACCTGATTTTGTTTAGTTTATTTGTTTTTTTTTTAATATTTCTATTTTTTTTTACTTTTTACAATATTGTTAAGAAAAATGTTAAAATTATGATTCATTTCATAGTTAAAAATATTAACTCTTTTTAATGCCGGAGATTTTTAAAAAAATCCTTTATTCTGGTGATTATGACGTTTCTAAAGAATCTAAAATTCTAAATCTTATTTTTTGTAAGGGTTATTTTTTTTTTTTTTTTTTGTGATTTGCTTTCACACTGGTTGCTAACACTTACTTGAAAAAATAATTTTTAAAATACAATATTTTTTAATGTCAGTTTTATCTCAAATATATCTTCAAATTAGAGTTAAAATTATGATTAATGTCGTAAAAAAATGGATGTGAATAATGATTATAACAAAACCATTAAACAATCCTTTCTCTTGTTACTAAGGACACAAAAAACTTAACATCCTTACAAAAAAGTAAATTATGATTTATATTTCGTTTCTGATCTTGTTCAGTTTGGATGTGAATTAGCAAACAATAATGTCTTGAATTATATTTTTATGCTTTTTTTAGGAAGAAAAATGCTTATTTTTACAAACTCATACCAAAAAAAGTTTTCTGACAGTAAATCTTACCAATATGGAGATGCATTTTAAAACCAAACACAATTGAAGTCTTGGAATCAATATGATGAAGAAGCATTGTCATTATTATTAATTTTTAGACTAAAAAAAAATAAAAACAACAGAAATTATATATGAATGCATTTTTTTAAGTCAAAAATTGGAAAGTGAGTTTGTTTTTTTGTTGTATGACAATGACATTTATTTTTTAACTTTTTTTTAGATTTATTATTAGTCTGATGTTTTTTTTCAAATGAACAGATTCTTATTGCAAAAAATATACAATTTTTTAACTTTAAGTGACTATTATTTTTTTCCTTTAATAAATCACTACAGAACTCTAGTCTGTCTGCTTAAGTGCAACACAATGGCAAGGTCGAATGAAGGCAGGAAGTGTTTTGGTGTCCTTATGCCAGTCTTCTAAGTGATGCGCCCTTGTCTACTTATAAAATCAGCATTCGACATCCTGGTTTTCATCAGAGACGGAACACCGACCACAGGCATCGGTGGGAAATGAAATACGCAATCAACATCCCATCAAGCTCATGTATTTTTACCCTAAGGCCCTACAAGTGACAATCTCTCATAAAATTTCATGTGTCCTTTCTCAAACCCAGTGCACATTTTTGTGGAGGGAGGAATGCTTATCTGGAATGAAAAGTTGGCCTTGGCTCGGTTAAAAAGTAAAACTAATTGCCAAGGGGAGTCAGTGTGAGATAATGTACAAATACTGGTGCGGGGGTCTTTGGGTTAGGAGATATATATCTTGGATTGTAACTACATAAAGGTAATGTTTACTTTTTAGTTTAACTGCTTAATCAAGCTAACTAACATACATACTTATGTCCCATTCTAGTCTAGGTAGATTTCGACTTGCAATGTAAAAATTCAAGATCAGAATTTACTAAATTCTGGTCTTTTAGTAATTTCAAAATTGGTAACTAGGGTAATTTCGGACCAGCATGTTCATTTCTGAAAAATTAGGTTATGTTTTTGTGTGTGTTTTATGAAAATGCAAATATTTCCGTCCTTAACCTTTTTTTTACCTTCAGTTTCTGTTTGCATGTGTATCTTTTTTTTTTTCTAGTTGTTATATTGACTTTAATGTCCCTAAACAAACTCATGCTAAAACTGCCAGTTTTTCCGTATGGACGTTTGTTTTTAATATTTTTTTTCTTTTTAATTGCACAAGGATATTATTATTTTATTTTGTTTCTTTGTGTTATTGTAGCCTCAACAGGTAATAATACCGTCTGTGTTACAAAGTTTCGGTTTGTTAATCTGGTATGTTTTATTGTCTCTCATTCTATCAAAATACTTTGATCAACTTGATAAATCATGTGCTGTTGTATTTAGTGTTTCAGCTTCGTTTGCTTTGTTCAACTTACTAAATGTACCTGCAATAATAGTTTGGAATGAATTCTGGTGTTCTATTTGCTTTGAGCCTTCAAGATTCAGTTCAACTTATCTGGTACTGGGCTACAACAGACATAGTAATGATAAAAGTAAAACTGAGGCCATTTGTAATACTCTGTCAGACTGACATAAAGTTAAACCATTGCTCTGTTGACTTGAAAGTGACCTAAGTAAATATTTTTGAATTACAGTTCAGTCTGGTACCAGGCCGCATAATTTTCTGCAGTGATCTGTAAGAGTAAGACTAACTTCATAGTCATAACTCTACAGCAGGCACCCAGTAAGAAGACACAAGGTCACAATAGTGGGCACCAGGCAGGAAGAGAATTAAAGCAATAGATATTTACTGAATTTAGCTTAGTCTGGCACAAGGCCAAATAGGAAAGAGAGAAAAAAAGATGATGTACCAAAATCACAAACCTACATATTTTGAAAATCAGCATTCAAAATCCTGGATTTCACTTGGTCTTTGAATATTAGCCAATGGGAAATGTGTAACTAACCCACCAAATAGACATTTGAGATAGATATTGGTTAATAATAGTAGATATGTACTAAATTTAGGTTAGTCTGGCATAGGGCCAAACTAGAGCACCCTGTGAGAATTAAATGTGGTACACTAGTGAACAATCTAGTTTGCTGATTATCATTTTATGGTAGGTAGTCCAGATTCAACAAGAAAATACACCATCTGTGAAATTGTATGTTTTCAGAAATCTTGTGTTGGATAACTTTGATAAATTCTGTATGAGATTTTGTCATCCAATATCTTTTTGTCTACTGTCTGAACATAGGGTTTGTAGTTTGTCACAATTACATCAAAAACAAATTAAGAGATTTAATTAACACAAAATAAAACCATAACAACATTAAACCTGAAGCAAAGAGTTTACAAAATAAATTTAAAAAATGTCCCATACAAAAAATATCATTGAAACATCCAGAAATTTAAATAAGATTTTATGAGCATAAACAGGATCTTTTACAAATATTCTTCTTGTCTGAATATTAATAAATGAAAAAGAAAAATCAGTCATGTTAATTTTATAATTCTTAACTAAAAAATTATCTACTCTACTTTCAAATTACTTGTCATCTTTGAGGATGTGTTTTCCCAGCATTTAACATTTCATTGCTAAGATTGTTCATTCAGATATTATATCATCAGATATTATATCATCAGTAATAGAAATTTTAGCAATAGCTTTTTATATATAATATATATATTGTTTGCACGCTTTACAAATTTGTCCTCTACGAAGATAGAGGTTCAAGAACCAGTGACCCTCTTTTTTTTTGTTATTTTCTGGTTATTGTTTCAATTAAATTTTTTACAATGTTTTATTTTATTATCCTTGCTCTTTTAACCCCAGTTTGTTGTTTATAGAAGGGATGGCTGCTGAGACTTAATGTAATCATTGTGTGGTTATTATTATTTTTCCTCTGTTGATTCCCTGGCAATTCTTAATTTATTGTTTCTTTTGTTTTTTATGTTGTGCATGCAATTTATGTTTGTTCTCAATTGGGTCTGAAGAGTGAGGATTGAAAACCCATTGCCTCTTTTTTATTTATTTTCTTGTTTATTTTTGTTGTTTCAATTCATCTCTTTACAGTGATTTATTTTATTATTCTTGCTCTTCTTCACCCTGTTTGTTTTTCTTTTTTATATATATACAATTTTAATGTCCATTTTTATTTATTTTTTATAGCATTAATATTTTGTACCCTAATAGACTGTTTAAAGTTTTGAAATTAAAAAAATATTTTTATGCAATTTGGTATTAATTTAACCGGTCATAAGGTACATTTTTTTTTTCTTTTCTTATTTTTGGGGAGTAACCATTTTGA